TCTAATCCTAGCCGGTATAGTAAGAGCTTCTCTGCCTCTTCCTTACTAAAAACCCTACTCTACTTCTCGTACTCTTATAGAATCCGGGCGTTTGTCCTAGGCGCCTCCTAGGCGCTATCTAGCTTTACTGTAAAAAGGAGGTATGTTAATACCTATATCGTGTCTGCCGGCCAATCTCTAGGCGCTTGTTCTACTATCTTGTTAGCGTCGTACGTAAGGTTAAGGTACACTAAGGTAGCGATTACCTTGTTTACGTCTAGTGTCGCTAACTTTCTAATTAACGATTAACCTATAGCCTAGTCGATGTTCGGGTTGTAGCTACGTAGCTAGGGTAACCTAAGGATCACATTAGCGGCCTCTATAGTGATCGCTCTAAAGGTAGTAGCCCGTACCGAACTTATTAACGGCCTAGAGATCGTCGCTACTCTTGTCCTGTTATCTAACGCCTTTACTAGTATTCGTCCTTTCGCGTCCTTAACTAGTAGGCAATATTAGGGTACGACGTCGTAAACAATAGTGTCGACAAAGTCTTCGTTAATAAAATTTAAAGTTACCGCTAAGTCTACTAAAGCCTAGGCCAGGATGTCCTCCCTATCCTTCCCTCAAAATGTTATAGGGGTCGTAAAAAAATTCGAATTAATACTAGTTACGTTTAAAAACTAATCCTGTCGATCTAACATAGCTTGTAGAGTATCTATGCTGTCTAGTAGAGAAATAGACAGAGTAGCTGTTTAGCTAATAAGTTCTATGTCCTATAACCTAACAGAATTAAGATATTCTTCTATTAAGTAGAGTAGGGCGAGCGTAACTAATGATTCTGCCTTTATACTAGGCATATTATAAGAAATAGTTATGTCTAAGTAATAATTGTCGTCGTTATTAGCTATAGGTAAGTAATGTTGTGTTAGGGCCGAGTCCTAGGTAAGGCCTAAGAACTCCCCTCTCCCTACCGCCCTTAGTAAGAGGACTTGTCTTTTTCTAATCGATCTAGGTAATCGCTAATAAAGTAGCTACTCTTTTGATAGTAGAAACAGGTTTACTTAAGACGAGCCTTCTTCCTCGTTTCTACTAGGATGTCCGGATATAGAGAGTCCTTTCTCTTGTTACCTACTAATTCCGTTAGTAGTTTCTATAAAGAGTCGTCTAACTTCGTAAAGGTGACCGACTTCCTAGGCTTCTTCTTGTCTTCCTCCTTTCGAGAGAATAATCAGGACTTACTCTAGATCTACGCTTTTATGTTAAGAGCCGCGCGTTTTAATTCTGTATACGTCGCCGAGAGGACGCTATTTAAGGATTCGTAAATACGCTCGAGTATAGGCTCTATAAGCTTTAGCTAGTAGGCAGATAACACTACCGCGTCTAATGTTACTTACACTACATTCTATAATAGTGACTTAAAGTAATTAGTGAATTCTTGTACTAACTAGGACTTAAACATTTTATACCTGTTTAATTTTAAGTCCCCTTCTAACGAGGTGTTAGTAGGACCGTACTCTTAATACAACTACGATTTTAGCTGTACCTAGTCCTAAAATTTAGCCGATTCCTCTAGCTGCGCGTAGAGTCGTGCGAGTTGTATACGCGTCTTAATAGTGTACAGAAGGTAATCTCGGCCTGTAGCCGCCTAAAGCGCTAGGTCTACTACTCCTTTTCTTATTAGGTAATCTTTAATCTCTAAGATCTATAGCTAGATGTCGTCCTTCTTTAGATCAAACACTAGTAGCGCCTTTACCCTAGGACGATCCTAGGAACAGCCCCCTTAGGGTTCTAGCTACTACGACGGCGTAGAGATCGTCGGTAGTCCTGTAATGCTTAAGGGCATAGGTCGTGTGGCCTAGAGGTAGGCGAATAGGTAGTAGTATAGTTGTCCTAGGAACAAGACATGTTACTATACTAGGTAAGGCTAGAAAGGCGGCTAGAAAGGCAGGTATAACGGTAGAAGCTGACCGTACAGGTCTAGGCCCCCGGACATTAGTAGTAGGTTCTGTTCTGTCGCGGCCGCCCCTTGTTACTTTATTTTCGTAATAAGTTCCTGTTACTCCTTAATCACCCGGGCTTGATCCTCGATAATACGTTAGGATTCTGCCGAAATAGATCGGCAGGTCGAGGAGCGGTCTTGGTTTTACTACTCCTAGCTAGTCTGTCCTAGGTTTACCCTAGGACTACCCTGTAGGCTTAGCTCCCGCTAGCTAGAGCACATGTTTTCAGGGATCGATAATAGAGGAGAGGACGATCTGTCTGTAATAGCGTCGTCCCTGTTCCGCTCGTAGGATAGATTAATGCTATTCGAGTCTTGTGTAATAGCGTCTTTGTAATCCCTACTGTTTGCCGACATGTTGACTAGTCTACTGTCCCCTAATAGCGATCTAACGTCTAGTGTGTCCCTTCTCTACAATCTTTGTAGCGCCTCTTCTGTACCTTCCTCTACCGTATATTGTTTACCTTGTTAAGGACGAGGAGCCGAAATGCCTAGGGATGATTGTATAAGAAATCTACTCCGGATTCTTAAGCTAATTAGGAAACTCGACCGTACGTCTACCGTACGTCAGATAGTAGGTAGTCGAATCAACTAGGGAACGAAGTAGGGTAATGTCGATCTTGTAGCTAGCTGCCTGTTCTAAGTGTTAAATTAGTAGAACGTTTAGAACGGCAGGACTTTAAATAAAACAAATTTTGCCGTAACTCGATACTAGGCCGGACTTAAGAGGGGAAGAATAAGACTGTGACGGACTTAGGCTGTCTAGGGTAGTATTAGTTTTAAAGGATTTCTTATTCTTAAGGATCATCAAAAGGACGGCTACCGACAGGAGCTATATACAGGTTCGCTTCGGTAAGCGCTTAGTAATGGGTGCCCTAGGCATCTCCTGGGTGTACCCCATGACAATTAACAAGTGTATTATAACTTACTATAAGGGGTTCTTCTTTTTAATAGATTAGTAAGAAGGGTTCTAACAGGCTATTTAAGACGTTATATACGCTAAAATAGTAGAGGTATATAAAGCTATTCTAGAGAAGTTTAAAGACGAGTTTTATTAGAACGATAGTAAGCCTTACTAGGCCCTTGTTAACGTGACTCCTAAGTAGGTTTAAGAGGTTGTTAAGTTTAATCTTAAGAGGTAGGCTCTTGTCTACGTAATTAGCTAGTAACTAACTCTCTATTATAAATATATTGTTTATACCTAAGTAGATTACTTTTTTTATACTAGAACAACTATAACCTTATGCCTAGAGAGAGCTTACGCTATTATTAAGGGATAGATTAGTAGGCCCTCTAAGTACCTACACGCTACATAAGAAGTAACAATACTAGCGATTAATAATTAATTAAACAAGACTATCTTGTTAACTAATAAGAGGTACTAAACTACTCTTGCCGGCCTATTAAGCTAGTTCTACTATTAGGTTATAGGTAAGATCTCTTACTTTAGCCTATATAAGCTAAGAGAACAGTATAAATACGTTAAATAGTAAAAAGAATATAAGGAACGTAGCCTAATCTAATCTAAGTGTACTAGATCCTTTAGTACCTTAATAAGGATGCCTTGTTAGTATATAATCAAGGCTAGATTAGCTAAAAACGTAGGTATCTTACTACTCTATTACTCTTATTCTTACTTCTAGATATCTACCTAATCTAGAGATCGATCTATAGCTATTACGCCGTTAGATTTCTACCCTTATTAGTACCTTAATCGCCCTCCTCCTAGTACCGAATAGAGCCCTCCTCCTCCTTCTATCCTCGATCTTATTGATCGACAGTACTAGCGCGATCAAGAAGCTAAGAGACGAGCATAAAGGGCACACTAGCGGGCGAATACAAGGGCTAGAACAGCTTAGACAGGCCGTATATTAAGTTAATATAAGCAGGTAGTAGCTCCCTTACGGCACTATACAGCGTGTGTTAAATCAGGGCACGATCGATCAAGGTACTAGGGCTGTCGATCAACAGGCTATACAAGAAACACCTGTCCTTTTGTGCCACGTAATACGGCGACGGCGACGGCGACGACAGCGGCGATAGAAAACAGGCCAGTTCTACAGGCAAATCCAGCTAGTCAAGCACTGCCGCCGTCCTAGTGGCCTGAGTAGGACTAGGGGACTCAGAATAGCTTCATTCTAGCTACTTAATACGGGCTATAAAGGGGTGCTATACGGGGTGTTATTTGGGCTGTTGATATAGCTGCGGTTAGCTGCTATAATACTGTTTTTAGGTGCTATTTGACGTGGTTTGGCAGCTGCTATAAGCCTGCTGGTTGGGCTGTTTTTAACTGTTATTTAGGCTGTTATTTGGGCTGTTATTTGGGCTGTTATTTGGGCCGTTATATCGCTGTTAATATGGCTGCTGTTGACTGCTGTCAAGCCTGTTTTTTGGTGCTATTTGACGTGCTTAAGCAGCTACTACCAGCCTGTTGGTCGGGTGCTATATGAGTCACTTTTACTGTTCTATTTGAGCTGTTATTTAGCCACTTCTAACGAGTTGTTTAAGCTGTTGTTTGAGTTGTTATTTGACCTGCTGTTATTTAAGCAGCGACTGTTTGCAAAGGTACTTGTTGACTCTATAGAGTCTAGTGCTAAAACTAGGTACTGGCAGAAACGTTTTCTGCCGGTGGCAGGGGGGGGGGGAGGGGGCTCGTATAACAATTGGGGGGGGCTCGTGTATCAGCACTCTCTTTTTCCCGTCTGGCGCGACACTCGGCGTTGGCGCTTGGCGCTTGAGTGGATTTCAGCCGCCATCACGTAAGGAGGATTTGAAACCCCCTCCTTTATAGATTCGTTCGGCTATTACAGCGATTGATGAAGGCAATGCTGGCGGAACAGAGAGAGAGCGACGGAGGACAAGGGCGAGCGGCCCAGCGCTCCAGCATGTAAATAATACCTTAGGCAGCAACATCTCATTGGGCTTAGATAAGGTAGTTGGCGTCAACTATTGCATGGGCCTACGGCCTGGATCGGTTTATCAATCAATCAAACAAAATAAACAAACAATAGATTTGTTCAAAATGAGCAGTCCTTCAACGCAAGTTATTCCTTCCTTGTTCGTCTAGGAACACAATGTTAATGTCTGCAGATCGCCCTACTACGTGGGAAATATCTTGAGGCTCTTGCGGCTAAACACGGAACCCGCTCGACTGCGCGAGAGCCGCGGCTTTTCCGATTCCATCAACGTTAAGATCCTGAAGGTCATTGAACCTATAACTCTGTCAGTCGTCCTGCAAGTCGCTCTTCTATCTCACGATCTCAGTGATGGAAACGAGCCTCTAATAGCCATCCTGAAACTCTATGACCGTCGATTTGCGGCTGGGCTGCGCGCTGGCGATTACCGTTACAAAGCAATTCAGCCCTGGGACCCAGCTCATGATGACGCTTTTGTCGCCCTTGCTCAGAGCGACGAAGCCTCGGATTATAGCGGAAAGGATAAGGATGGCAATCCCATCTTCCCTGGGGAAGACTGGACAGTCGCACAAAAAGAGGTCTTTCTATACCACCAATGCCTCGAGCTCTACAAAGCAGAAGTAGAAGCTTACCATACCCTAAAACCTCTCCAGGGAATGGATATTCCTGAGCTGTACGCTAATGTCTGTTGTCTCGAAGGTGAGTCGACTGCAGCGCCTGCTGTCTCATACCTACAGGTCAGCGGCATCCTCCTCGAGTTTATCCCCGGCTTTGCGCTTCGTGACATTGCCACTCATGCACCCGAAGAAGACTGGCAAGTCATCTGCGACGACGCAATTGCAACCATCCACAAGATTGACGATCTCGGCGTCCTGAACCATGATGTGCGAATAGACAATGTGCTTGTCCGACGGCTAAGCAATGAAGAGACAAAGAGAGACATATACAAGGCTGTGTTCATTGACTTTGCGCTCTCGGAAGTTAGAGGCGAGATGTCGGCTGAGGATTGGACGGTCAAAAAGTGCAGACAGGACGAAGAGGGCGCAATTGGCTATGTGATGCAGGCACGGCTTAAGAAGCGCGTTGGCTCGCGGAAGAAGCATACAGAGGTGTTTCCTTTTACGTATCAGGCGACGGGTCGTTATAGACATAGTGAAGATGGCTACAAGGGACCATTGGGGTTTTTTGTCCGCTCAGATTGAGAGCTGCAATGCCTAAGGTATGATAGGGTTGACTGATGCTGTTCACTCCCTCGCCGTGTCATGACAGCAGGATTGGCATGTAGGAATCAGTGCTTTGCTGGTTTCACTATTGGTCGGCACAGCCTCGATGGTTCATATTGCCAACCTTTGGGCCATGCTATTATCATTGGCATCCAGCGACCCAATACGGACACAGATATTGACCAAGAAATGGCTAGGACCTATCTGTGAATACAGCTAGCTCGATGTCGGTTTCACCAGCTTCTCAGTTGTTTACATTGGGCCTGAAATAGTGACAGAGCCTAGTGTACGTGTAGATCAGCTTTCAACTCTGCCAACCTCGCCTTTCACCCTTTGCAATAATATATTAAAAGACACGATTCAGCGGCGCAACATGCGGATTATGATCATGCTATGGCGGTTTTGGTTTGGGTGGACCGTGGGAGGAGGGGGCTCGGCGGAGGCTGAGTATATCACGTGATCGAGTACTACGTGATTGCAGGGAGCACGAAGAATACCTAGGTACCTAGGTACCTAAGGTACGTGTCAAACAAATGGGAGGTTATATCACAAATGATGTGGTAACAGGCGAATTCTAGTGGGTTTGAACTGGATTGAATTGAATCAAAAAGGAGGGTAGCTAACTACCTACTCTATACACCTTATTCAAAGGTGGGAGTGCTATATACAGGGGAAAGCGCGATATCCTCTGGATGGGAATATAAGATAGGTGCCTGAGAGCCTGAATATCCAACAGTTCCAACATGAACAACTATTGATGTGAGGGGAACGATCCCTATTCCATGCACCAGGGATCAATCAATCAGTTGGTGATCAGGGGAACGTGATCCGCTACCCGGTAGGTGATCCCCCAGCTCGACACTACCTACCTACCGGCTTCAGGCCGAGCACTAATTAAGACCCAATCGGTCTGGATTGAGGCAGTGTTCTAATCTATATTTATGCGAATTGATCGAGGCAGGATCCTAATCCAGATTGTCGCGGGGCCACAGGGTTCTAATCCATATTTATATCCGAATTAATCGAGGCACGGCCCTAATCCAGATCCACGCGGATTGATTGAGGCACGGCCACGGGGTTCTAATCCATATTCATCTCCGAATTGTTTGAGGCTGGGTTCTAATCCAGATTCACGCAAATAGGATGATCCGTCAACTCCATGAATCCTGCCATCAAGAAGTCTGGAGTTTCGTAGCGAAGCAAAGTAAACGGACCTCTATATAAAGGACTTGTGAAGCTCCCCAGTGCTACATTTCAGACAGCTCAAATCAATCAATCAATCCATCAACACACCAGACCTATCAGAATCTCTGTGAACTTCCTTCGAATAACCAACCCTTCCAATCAACGCAAAACACGTACAATCATGAAGTTCTCCACCACTAGCATTCTCGCCATCCTCGCCGGCGCAACTGCCATCACGGCAGCTTATGTCCCCACCTCCGCCCGCGACGTTGACCTTGAAGCCTCTAAGGACTTCGAGGTTATGAAGCGCGAAGCCTACGCATCAGCCTATGCCGAAGCTTATGATGACATTCTAAACGCACGTGACCTCATCGATCGAGAGGCTTTCCCGGAATCAGAGTCACTGCCAGAATTCCTCGAGGCTCGTGGCAACGACGCGACTATCCTCGACTACCTCCGGAACATAGATACAAGAACTGCGACAGGTTCCTTCAACAAGAACGTGTGGACGCGTATCCACGGTGATACCAAGTCGTCGGTTGGAGGGAACTTGCATATCGAGACGGGGGAGTTTAACAACAAGCCTCAGGCGCGACTGATTCAGTCGGGGGTGAAGGGGTCGGCCGGCGTACTCGTGACAGTTGAGCCTGCGCGTGCTTCGGTGGGTTGTGCGGTGCATACACTCAGAGTTCACTATGGTGGTCCTCAACCTCCGAGCAACGACTGCTGATCAGGTGCGAGAAGGATACAAACGCAGGCCTAGAGGCGCATGGAGTTGTATGGGGGGATATGTCAGGCGCAAAGGATATAAGATTATGGAAATATAGCAAGCAATAAGACTTCTCATCTTGACAATTTACCTCGCTCTAGAAACTTGGCATCGCAAGTGCCAGATCCTCTCCCTTCAAAAGATCCTCTCCCTTCAAAAGATCCTCCCCCTTCAAAAGATCCTCCCCCTTCAAAAGATCCTCCCCCTTCAAAAGATCCTCGACCCTTGCAGGCTATTCCTTATCGTTGATTATATTTACATAGAGGACGATCCTTTTGAATAGGACAGCTACCTTGATTGTTATATAGACAGTCTATGACTATAGGGGCAGTTCTGTTCCAAAGGATAGTCAATTAAGCGAGGATAGGTAAGGTCAACACTCGGGGACGGTCCAGGATGGTCACGGGATGGTCATTCTGGATAAAATAGTTCAGATCGAACGCTAAGCTTTTATCTAGACCATAACTTTTGATGATTGTCGGATGATGATCAAGGTGGGATCAATCTAAAAAGACTGCCATAGGGCTGTCATAACGGCCCTGCGCCTCCCTTTGAGTTTGAGGTAGCTCAGGTACAACTTAGTACAATGTTTGTTGTATGTATCGTGTGCCCGAGAGGCGATCGTCGGTGTCCTCACCTTAAGGCGACCTTAAGGCTTAAGTCGACCTCACCCTCTTTACCACGTCGTGTCATGCCTCTCTTTATCCATTTCGGCCTTGCGCTGGTCGCACTCGCATCACTCTCTCTGCAAGTCGCGGCCCATGGTGCAAACGCAAATGCAAGTGCAAATGCCTTTCAACAGCATTGTCTCTCCTTCGCCCCCGAGAAGCTGATCTGGAACTCGACTCGAACGCACCTCGAATATGTCGCCAATGGGACAACCCTCGAGTTTCCGGACAATGTTGCCTCCTGCGCTCGACCCCAACAGCTGGTATCGGCGGACCTGTGCCGGATTGCGCTCTCGATCCCCACGTCTCAACGCTCAAGTATCGCTCTTGAACTCTGGCTCCCGGAGCAATGGTCCCAGGCGCGCTATGTGTCGACGGGCAATGGGGGGATAGATGGATGTTCGTCCTTCTGGTGGCCTGAAAGTGCTGTCGCTGATCCTGTCTAGGCGTAAAATACGAGGATCTGGCCTACACAACTAGCAACGGATTCGCCGCCATGGGTACCAACAATGGACACAATGGAACCACCGGCGTGACTTTCCTCAACAATCCAGACATCGTGGAGGATTTTGCCTATCGGGCGTAAGATTCACAACTCCACTTCAAAACCAAGCTGACATCGGTAGTCTCCATACCGGTACTGCCACGGGCAAGCTGCTTACCGAGAAATTCTACAACAAAACACCAGCGTACTCGTATTACCTAGGATGCTCTCTCGGTGGTCGTATGGGTATCAAGGCAGCAGAACTGTACCCCGATGACTTTGATGGCATCATCGCTGGCTGTCCCGCCGTCGACTTCAATTACTTGCAAGGGGAGAGAGCTATGTTCTACCCTATTACTGGCGCCGCCGGTTCTCCCAACTTCATCGAACCAGACCTCTGGACAGGCCTAATTCACAACGAAGTTCTCAAGCAGTGTGATGCGCTTGACGGCGTAAAAGATGGCATCATTGAAGTGCCAGATCGATGCTACTTCCAGCCCGAGACTTTGCTCTGTCGACCATGGTGGTGGCCGTTTGGGAAATCTAGCCCATGTTTGAACTTTCAACAGGTTCTGCAACTTCGGCAGATATATGCTCCTTATACTTATCCCAATAGGACATTGATTTTTCCTCGGATGAACCCAGGAAATGAAATCTTCGCCGTCCAAAAGTTTTTCGCGGGTGCTCCTTTCAGTTACTCTGAGGTATTAATTACGTCCTTCGTCAAGGGAAACAGAACGAGGAAGAGTTCCCGTCATTTGCTGACCAAGATAGGACTGGTTCAGATATGTCGTCCTAAGCCAACCAACTTGGAATGCTGCCACCTACAACGAAACGCTTGTAGCTCTTGCTCAGGAACTCAACCCCTTTGATATCCAGACTTACCCGCAGACGCTCCCGGCTTTCAAGGAAAAAGGGGGCAAGCTACTCAGCTACCACGGCGGTCAAGATAATCAAATCACGAGTTTCAACACGGAGCGCTTCTGGGATCGTATGGCTGAGGCAGATCCCCAGCTACAGGATTGGTACCGCTTCTTCCGTATCTCGGGCATGTTTCATTGCAATTCTGGCCCTGGCGCTTGGATTGTCGGTCAAGGTGGTGGAGCCGCAGCTGCGGGGATACCGTTTGAGCCGCAGCAGAATGTTCTTGCTGCGATGGTTGCCTGGGTGGAGAAGGGACAAGCACCAGGTAGCCTGACGGGTACAAAGCTTGTGAATGATACCCTTTCAATGGGTATTGATTTCCAGCGGACCCATTGCTTGTAAGTATAGCCGTTATCTTTTTGTTTTGGTGCTAATCATGATAGATATCCTAGCACGCAAACATATATCGGTGGTGATTATAAGCTTCCGTCGAGTTGGAGATGCCAATAACATGGAGAATTTAAAGTGGAACTTGTTGGCGCAGTTTCTGATTTAAAGGGGATGCTCTAATTCCCCAGGTCATTATTCTCGCTGTATATATCACGGGCCATCTCAGTGCCCGTTACATACCTTAGAGGCATACAATCCTGTCACACGGGAGGGATCGGACAGAGGATAATGAAGGACGATTGACTTGATTGAAGTGGAAAGAAAGGGTAGCTAGCTAACTACTCTATATACTCAGCTATTTACAGGGGAAGGCGCGATATTCTCTGAACAATGATACAAGTGCCTGAGAGCCTGAATATCCAACAGAATCCAACTGCATATTTACAGGACTCTTGAACGTGAGAACATTGATCCCTGTACAGCTAGCTGTATTTGACAAGTCTACCTTGATTGATATGCAAGAATCGTTTGAAGAAAACGGGAATGTCCAACCATAATCTCATGTCCGCCCAGTCACTTTTCCCACACTCGGGCACCTACTCCTAAGTCCTGCCCTATATCGAAATTCACAACACAGCTAAGACCCCCCTCCTTTGGCATGCACCCCTAAGAATCTAAGATTTCCTTAGTATCCCTGCTCCTACTCTCCATCTCAATCTCCGTAGTCCTCATAATCTTACTAAATCCCTAACGATCCCCCCTTTCCTTTCTACTGTCTAACGTAGGGCTAATGCCCGTCTTTGCCGTCGTCGAAATCACAGTCATTTGTCCACCCGTGAGTTTCTCAAAGAAGATATAGAAACCTAGACGCACCACCATTATTGTAGCCGCGATGATGCTAACAAATTCTTCCACTATAGCAACAGTGTTGGAGGTGGCATATGCCCCTGTTCTAGGTCAATATAAAAGAGTAGGAAAGGGCTCAGAAGAAAAGATACATACATTGTAGGTCGGTTTAGACAAGGCGCTGGGTTTGTACATCAACACAACACGCCAGATAGTGAGTGCAGCTAGTATGACTATAGTTATCATTGGTTGGAGAGCACCGTTGTAGGACTTAAATGTGGAACGTGGAGGAAGCGTACATTGCATCTAGTGAAATTAGTCCAAGGATCTGCCAAAGCTCTTTCGGACGGTATTCTAGCTTCAACAACGCCGGGAAAACCATAGCGATAATGCACGCAGGTAATAATGTTTGATCTTAATATACTGTCAGATAAAAGAGGTTATATATCACTATAAAGAAGTAGTAATAACAGGCGAATTCAAGTGTTTTTAGTAGTACAACAAGTAGATTAAATTAAACTAAATTAAATAGAACAGAGAGGAGTCCCTTACTCTATATACTTAAAAAGGGGGTTACTATTTACATGTATAGGCGCTATATCTACTATAAACAGGGTATATAGGTACCTAAGTGCCTAAATCCTAACAACACTATAAACTATTAAAAACAAGGTGTAAGGGATCGATCCCTATATATTAATCAAGGGTTAGTTAGTAATTAGGGGAACAGATTCTGTATCCTAGTAGTAATTAACCCTACTGTTTAACATACCCCCTTAGGGATCAAGCTGATTCTAGACTTGACTAGAGAGCCAAGTACTAGTACGGCTCTCTTCCTAGCTCTCTCTCTAATCAGGTAATAATAAAGCTATTCCTATACCTAAAGGTGTACTAGTACTTACTAGTACGGCTCTCTCCTTAGGTAGAAGGTTAAAGAATTAAGGAAAGTACGTAATAGTAGGCACTTAATTAAGAGGGGCTTAACGTTTAAGTCCTAAAGCTCCTTAAAGAAGAACCTTAAGGACTTGTAGTACTCTAAGTAGCGAGACATGTTAAGTAATAAGGTCGAGTAAGTAGTAGAAATAAATAGAACTAAAGAATATAACTATAGAAACAGTTAAATCTCTAAGAAAAAAAGAGTAGACTTCCTAAATAAGAAATATAGCGTAAAAAGTAGACTTCTTAAATAGGAAATCAAGCTTAAGATAAGAACTAGATCTTAGAACAGGTCCTATTTCTCTTACTTAATCGTTTAAGTAAGAATTGCCTTTAGACTAGCGTAAAAGCTAGTTCTAGGTATTTAGTAGTCAAACAAAAGGGTTTCTTACCTAAATAGAGGGTATTTAACTGCCCTAATCTATAGGCTAGCTGTCGTTTAGGTTTAGGGTCTTAATATCTACTAGATTAAGTAATTTAATAAATTCGATATGTTTCTAGCGTAGTAAGGCCTTAGTTAACCTATCTACTAGCATGTTATAGGTTAACAGCTACTATAGACTAAGTCTCTCTTTAGTTACCTCTTAGCGTAGCTAGTGTTAATAGATATCTACATGCTTAAGCTTAGTAACTAGGCGTAGAGTTCCTAATTACATAAGGCGGATAGTTTAGGCGTTATCTATATTAATAGTAAACTTCTTATATAATTTTAATAATATCTTAGTAAAGAGGCGTCTCTACTAGTAGAGATCCTTAGTAGCGTAAGACAGGGCTAAAAGCTTAGCCTCTATACTTAATGTAGTAACTGTCTTTTATTTAGAGGATTTCTAATTAATAAGGCCTCTAAACAAGTAAAACATATATCCTTTAGTACTCCTTCTAGTTTTTAAGTCGTTAGTATACACTATATTACTAGCGTAAGAGAACGCCTATTCTAATCTATTACTACCTCTAAATTAGATCCTAAGATACCAGGTTCTATAGAGGTATTAAATAACTCTTTCTATAGTACGTAGATAATTAGAGAAAGGGTTTAAAAGAAACTTAGAGAGCTTGTTAGCTACTCTAATAGCGTTAGGTCTAGTAACAATAGTTGTATAAAGAATTAAGCCTACTTTCCTCTAGTAGCTATAGATCTCTTAAGGAGAGGCCTGGCTAGGGTTTAGGACTAACTCTATAGTTAACATAAGTGTTAAAAGAACGTTCTTCTCTTCTACTCTTAGGTAAAAGGTTAAAGTAATTAACTTAATATAAGAGTCTTAACTTAACTATATCTATCTAGTAGTTCTGTCTCTAGTTACTTAGATACCTAAGAACTACTTTAATTCTCTTATATTACGTATCTTATAGGTACTAAACAGGCTCTGTTTAAAGGTTTAAAGGTGTTATTAATATTCCTTCCTTACTAAGATAGTAATATTATTTATATAAAAGAAGACAATAAGGTATTTATTTATATAAAGATACTCGGCCTCTAGAACTAGATACAGGCTAAGCTTAGCTAGTGTTTTAGTAAAGTAGGTATACTATAAGAAAAGGGAATAGTGTAGCCTATAAAGAGCTTTAAGAAAGAGGAGAACATACTCTAGGTTATTAAAACCCTTAGGATGTTTAATATAGACAGTTTCGTCTATATTACTATTAGTAAAGGTATTTATAGCGTTAAGCTAGTAGATCTCTAGATTAAAGTAACAGGCTATAGCTATTAAGCCTTTAAAAACCTGTAACGCTAGAGTAGTAGCGTAGTTATCCTAGCTAGTAAGATGTTAGAGATTACCCCTAACTATAAGTCTAGCCTTAAATTTATTAAGAAAGCCGTCTGTATTAAATTTATATATAAATACCTACTAGACAGGGATTATAGTTACTTTAGATATACGCTTAAGAATAGTCTTAAAGGTCTTACGCCTAGTAAGATCCTTATATTCTTTTAACGCCGCTACTATAAACTTATCCTAATATAGATAAGTTTAAACCTCTTTTTAGTGTTTAGGAGTAGGTAGAAGTTTAGTCTTGTATAGCCTCCTTTTAGCATGTTCTATACCTACTTAGAAGGTAGTGTAGAATCTACTATAGGCTTTAATTTACTCTATTTAGATAGTATAAGCCTTATACCTGTCTTATCGATTTCGTGTTCTTATTAGAAGGATATTTACTAGATTTAGGCTAGTAGAATTAGAGCTACGCCTACGTTGTTGATTCCTTAGTCTAGGCTAGTGTGTTTCCTCTTCTAGCTCTCTCTCTACAATAGTTGTCTCCTTGTCTTCCCTAGTTATAGCCTTATTTATATCCTTAGTTGTGATTTTAGATAAGTCGACGTTTAGAGAAGGATTTATATGTGTAAGAGGAGTAGTTAGAACAGGTAACGCTCTTAGCGTTAAGAGAGGATTAGTAACAGGATTATTAATAGGATTATTAGTAGAATCTACTAATAGATTAGTAGTAGTTTTAGTAATAGTATTAGTTGTTATTAAAGGAGTTATTATTGTTATTATTTAGACAGGATTTGTTAAATGTGTTAGTTCTATAGCTAGTAGGTTAGGTAACGTTCCTTCCTTAACAAGATTAAAGGGATCGTCTTCTTCTTTAATTTACTAGTTATATTTACTAATTACTAGTATTTTAATAGCTTTAATTACTTCTTTAGTAGTGTCCTGTTTATCTTAGGGCTAATACCTTTAGGATTTATTAAATGTGACATCTCTAGCTAATATTACCCTATTTCTAGCTAGAATCTAGACCCTAAATATGTTAGTAGAGTTATATCTTACTAAGTATCTAACAAAAGCTCTTAGTTCTAGCTTGTTAAGACGTACTATATTCTTAATTAGGGCGTAGGCTTTATAGCTAAAGGCGTAGAGGTAAGAGAGGTTTAGTTTAGAGTAGTAGAGACACTTATATAGTGTTTTCTAGCCTAAAGAGGTAATAAGAGATCTATTTACCAGGTATCTAGCTGTTTTTATTAGTTTAGGCCATAGCTTTAACAGTAAGTTAGATCCTATTTTTAGTACTCTTACTCTACTAAGGAGTACCCTTCTAGATCTTTTAATTAGCTTATTTTAGGCTACTATACGTAGTACTAATTGTTTAATAATAAAGCCTTTTACCTCTACTTACTTATTAAAATCCTTCTTAAGAGACGTTTCTTTATTAAGCTTAATCTAGTAGACTTTAGTATTAAAGTGTCTTTTAATTAAGGAAACAAAGTGTTGTATAGTAGCTAAGGAGCCTCGTTTAGTTATAAGGATATATACAAAGCTTATTCTAGTAAGATCGTTAAGAAAGTAGAGGATATATACCTCTTTAAAGTCTGTTAGGTATATTTAAATAAGATCTAGGTAGATCCTAGTAAACGGTTTGTCTGTATACTTAATAAGAGCTCTAGATATAATCTGTTTAGCGTTTACTAGATAGTAAACCTTATATAATAGGATTAGGTACTAATCCTTAGGTACTAACTTAACTCCTTTAGTACTAGTAGCTAGGCGTTAGATTGCCTCTATACGTAAGTACCTTATCCGTTTATACTAGAGCTTAACTAACGCTTTTAATAGTACTCTTAGTAGGTATAAGTTAGCTAGAAAGGCCGCTAAAATAACTATTAATTCGACAGTTAATACAATCGTTACTACTAGTTATAGCTTATATTTAATTAGTTTAGGTATAGAAACAGATGTAGAAACAGATATAAGGACAATAGGTATAAGGATAATAATAGTAGAAACAGCTAAACTAGAAGTACTCTTAATAAAAGAAGGTTCTTAAATAGTTAAGAAGGTAGATCTAGTAGTAGTACTATTATATTCTAACACCTATTAGTTAAATTTTGTTACACGGGATATTTGATCTATCGTCGTATTACAGGAACCAATAAATTGAATTAACTAAGTAAGAAGTAATTATATAGAGTGCCTGTATAGCAATAGTAAACAACTAACTTTTGGCGGGTTGCTAACCCTGATTAGGTTAGACTTAAGGCTCCGGACCTCCTAGTCCCGTAACTACTAACCCTACGTGATTAGGCTAGTGGTTTCTTGTAACACACCCTTAAATCTACGCCTGTAACGTCCTATCTATCTATCTAGCCTAAACTCTATACTACCTGCTGTTCTACTAAGTAAGATGTCGAAAGAGGAAATAGAAACAGTAGACCGGTGAGATTCTGCTACTACTGTCGCTAAAAAGGGAAATAGAAATAGTAAACCGGTGAGTTTTCTGCCGTCCTATCGCTATAAAGGGAAATAGAAATAAGGAATCGTCCTAATTAGGCAATTAGGACGCCTATAGTGTACGTACTCAACAGCCTCAAGAGGTGACTAGAATAGCTACAGCGTGTAGGTTTAACAGCTTTAAGAACTTAGCGTGTTTCGGTCCTTTTAGAGCTTTAGTAAGCCTATCTGCTACTATATCCTCTGTACGCTTAAACCAAACCTCTATTTTGCCTAGCGCGACTTGCTCTTAAATATAGTAGTACTGTACGTCGATGTGCTTAGTTCTCTAGTAGATAACTAGGTTATCTGTTAGCGCTAGGGATCCTTAGTTGTTACTGTATATTCGGATCGTTTTAGTGTTATCCGAGTTGACACCTAACTCGTAGAATAGCTGTCTTAGCCAGGCGGCTTCTCTTATAGCGTTAGAGAGCCTATAGTACTCTGTTTCTATAGAAGAGAGTACTACTACCTATAGGCGCTTTGATCTAAAGGATATCGCGCTACTGTAGTAGCTAAATAAATATCTAATAGTTGATCTTTGTGTTTCTATACAACTAGCGTAATCTAAGTCGCTATATCTATATAACCCTTCTAACACTCCTTTACTTATCCTGTATGTGATTCCTAAGTTAGGTATACCTTATAAGTAACGTAAAGCGTGTTTTGTAGCGCTTATATAGTTAGTAGAAGGATTCGTAAGATAGCGTAACAATACAGACATTAAATAGTATAGATCTAGGCGTGTTTACGTCGACAGGTATATAAGGGAGCTAACGATCTACTAATATAGTTTAGTCTAATCTACTATAGCGTGTTCTAGGTTTAAAACTATAAGCTTTACGTAAGCTAGATCTAATAGCGTCTTAGAGGCTTTATAGTCACTTATCTTAAAGCGTTTAAGTACCTTCTTAACGTAAGCGTCTTGTATAAAGGATATAGTCCTATTACCTCTATTCTTAACGATCCTAACGCCTACAAAGTAGTAGTAGAGACCTAGATCCTTTATCTTAAACGCGTTCTGTAGGGCTACTTTTAGATTAGCTAGCTCTTTCCCTTTTAGGCCGACTAATAAGAAGTCGTCTACGTAGGTTATAACGATTAATCTGCTCTTAAGGTATCGATATATACAATTATTAGCTATTAGGGGCTTAAAACCTAGCTTAATAAGTACTTAGCGTAGCTTTAGCTACTATAACCGTAGAGCCTACTTTAAACTATATAAAGCCTTGTTAAGCTTATAGACATAGGTATTATCTTTACTAGAGCTAGTTAGAAGTTCTACGTATATATCCTTATCGGCTTCCTTATTTAGAAAGGCTATAACGTAGTCTATTTGTTCTGTTTCCTAGTCTTCCTTAGCTACTAGGGCCAGGATTACCTTCTAAGTCATGCTTTTAGCTATACTAGCGTAGGTCTAATCGTAATCACGCCTATAGCGTTACTTATATCCTTTAACTACCTAGCGGGCCTTGTAGCGCACTACTAAACTATTAACGCTAGTTTTCTTCTTAAACACCTACTTGCTACCTAGAACCTTAGTACCCTTTTAAAGGCTTAATCTCTTGACTAGACTCTACGTATCGTTCTTTACGAGTAAGTCGAGTTCGTTCTGTATAGCCTCCTTCTACTACTTAGACTTAACGCTACTAACTGCCTCCTTGTGTATAATCAGGACGTTTTCTAGATCGTCTTTAACTACGGTCTAGTAAGTAGCGTAGAACGCTATAGCTATAGTAGAATAAGCTAATTACTACACCCCTTGTTTAGTATTATCCCCTACATCTTCCTTAGTTATGTAACGTGATTAGGATCGAGTTATTCAGGCAGTTTCGAGGTTAATAGAACGTATAGAGTCTTAAGCTTAAGCTAGAGCTTAAGCTAGAGCTAGAGTTACCTTTGGCTTGTTCTTTAAACCTTTTAGGCGCCCCCGGCCGCGCTTAACAGCTACTAAATCAGGCAAGGCGGCAGTCGACTAATCTTAGATCTGTTCTATAGTAGAGTTAGTATTAGCTAGTAGATTAATATTAGTAGTAGTAAGGGGCGGTTTCTTAGCTATTTCGGCTACTTTAGCTAGATCTTAATCTTTAGCTAGCTCCTGATCTTTAGCTTTATCTTTGCCTTTAGCGTTCGTTAAATCTATAAGTAGATTAGTTAGTAGGCGCGGTTTAGTTAGTAGTAACTACATCTTATTATCTAACACTTCTAATACGAAACCTCTTTTGTCGAATCTTACGTTCGATAATCTAACGATCTTATAAGCTCTTAAGGGCACGTAATAGTAGTATATTTAGTAGCCTTTAAAACCAAGAAGGATCCCCTTTTTAGCGCGCTTATTAAACTTTCCTAACTTAACCCGTCTCTAATCCGGGATATAAATATATACCTTATAGCTAAGCACCTGTAGGTAGGCTACAGACGGCTTGTTGTCTTGATTTAGGTATAGCTAATCTATAAAGGCTTAATATAGGGTTTTGCCCTTAACAGCTAACGTAGCTGTTCTATTAACAACATAAATTGTCCTTTCTAGTAACTCTAGCTATAGCTCTTTAGGGACGTTCTAGTTAATTATAGTAGATCGTAGCCGTCTAGCTATAATCTTGTTTGTAATCTTAGACACGCCTAATTACTTAGGGGTATATAGTATAGTCTCTTTAACTTAAATCCTCTTTACCTTACAGACGCTAGTTAACGCGATACTACTGTATTCGTTACTACCGTTAACTATTAATATAAGGATCTTAAAGAGGGCAAACTAACGCTCTGTTATGTTAATAAAGCCGAGGATCTTATTATAAGCCTCCCCTTTCTTCTTGTAAGGGTAGCCTTATCTAGTACAAGTTACTACATCTGTTATAATAGTAGTGTAGTACTTACTATAGAATCTAATTAGGGTAACCTCTACTACGTCTATACTTACCTCTTAGAGTATAACAGTAGGCCGGTGTTTAATAGAGCGTCTAACTAAGCGTAGTAGCTTTAATAGCTCGTAAGGCTTATAGAGAACCGTAACGCTAAGATCTATATCCGTAGGCTCGTCCGTAATCTGTATACTAGTAGTGATTTCTGCGGTCTTTTAGACGTTATTAAAGCCTAAGTGCCCTAATCTCCTGTACTACAGTTTGATTCCTGGTTTGCCCTGTTAAAGAGCAGCTAGTAGTACTATAATATAGTAGCTAGGCGAGTCTAACTATAGATATACCCTTGTATCGTCGACCTTATAGAGTACAAGTGTCTTCCCTTCTCTGTCTAGAAGGGCTCTCTTTATAATAGATCTGCCGTAGTATAGTAGCTTAACACCTAATAAGAGATTAATAGAGAAGGTTAGAATAAACAGAACTCCCTCTAGCCGTAGTTCGTAATACTAATCGCCCTCTACCTTAGCCTTTAGGACGATATTACTGTAACCCTCTAGTTAGATTAATCCGGCGCTTATTAGAACAGGTTATAACTACTTAGTTGCCTTAAAGCTATAGAAGATCGACTTATCGTTATATATGTAGTAAGTTACCCTTATATCCGGGCACTAGTTCCCCTTTTAGAACTCCTTTTAAGTAGCTAATCTAAGCGCTACCTTTAAAGCCCTAAGGCCTAGCGCGCTGTTAATCTAAGGCTACTAATCACCTACTGTATAGAGTGATATAGCGCTCTTTAAAGACTCCTTTTAGTCCTTCTTTAGACGCTTTTCTAGGAATGTAGTCTAGTAATCGTCTTTATCCTTTATAACGTAGAGCTTACTATAGTGTTAGTACTACTTCTTCTTAAGCTTCTTCTTATCCTTATCCTTGCCCTTACCCTTTCCCTTATCCTTGTTATCTAGCTTACTACCGTATAGTAATACTAATAAAGGTACTAATCCGCCGTCTTTCGCCCGGGCTTTGTCCTTAATCTCTATAACTAATGTGTCGAGTAATAGGGTACTTTTCTTGCCGCTCTTTTATAGGTTTTAAAGGGATTAGTGTCTTTTAGCCTATTAAGGGAAGGCTTTCGTAAGTCGATTAATAAAGATAATAGCGTACAGGTAGTCGCTCTTAGGCGCTACATCTAGTTGTGTAGCTTGTTTAAGTCAAGTCATAAAGGCGTCGATAAACTTCTCTACATTATTATAGTCCTTGTATCTAAGTAGCCAGAACTTATCTACCGCTTCTACTAAGTAAACCCTTTGCCCTTGTAGTAATCAGCTAGCTTGGTCTACATGGCCTCTGCTAAGTCTACTTTAGCTATAAGATTAAGTACTAGAACCGACGATATGTTCTCTTTAATAACCTGACGCGTTATAGCGTTACTGGCTCTCTATTTGTTATACTAATCTAGCTCTTCTTTTGTTATAGTAGTATCGCTATACTTATAAGACTTAGGGACAGGATACTTCTTAGATATAAACCTATTAAGCCTATTAGCTTTAAGTATGTCGTACACATCTGTCTTCTAAGTACAGAAGTTACTCTTGCCTTATAGCCTCTTACTACTCGCGAGCGCGGTTAAGTTAGACATCGTAGATTAGTCTAGGGTTCTGTAATATAGTTATTATCCCCTAGGCTCTATAATCCTGTCTAGAGCTCTATTCGATCAACAGATGTACTGTAATCAAAAACAGGCTTTGCCGCGACGAATCTTACAATAGATCGATAGATCGAATGATTCGAATTCGAATTTAGTATTAGAGGAGATCGAATAGTATTACTACTATGTTATACGGGATATTCGATCTATTGTCGTATCGTAGGAACCAATAAATTAAATTGACTAAGTAAGAAGTAATTATACAGAGTGCCTGTATAGTAATAGTAAACAACTAACTTTTGGCGGGTTGCTAACCCTGATTAGGTTAGACTTAAGGCTCCGGACCTCCCAGTCCCGTGACTACTAACCCCACGTGATCAGGCCAGTGGTTTCTTGCAACAAATTTGACTAGAGTATAATAAAAGGTATTGTTTTAACAGGTAAGGTAGTTTCCTTTTATATTCTAGTAGACTCCTTTCTTAATCATCTTACGTAAGGATACTACACTAGTATAGAAAGAGGGGACTAGGGCTACGCTCTTAAGATCTATACTAAACTAGCCTTTTAGGCCTTATAGTTAGATCCTAACATCTTTAAAAGCCTTAATTTAGATATAGTCTTTACTAGCGATAAGTACGCTCCTTAGTAATATAGGCTAGATATTATAGAACCTTACTTACTCGTTACAAACATAAACTATTACTCTTAAGTCTAAGATAAAGCTATCCTTAAAGGGATAAGTAGGCC